TATCTTATAATATCTTATAATATCTTATAATATCGTATAATATCGTATAATATCGTATAATATCGTATAATATCGTATAATATCGTATAATATCGTATAATATTGTATAATATTGAATAATATTGTATGATAAGCACCCTTTTACTACCTCCACAAATAGTACGTCACATACCTTGGAGGAGAAGTATGCTCAATACCCCTCCTGATATCAAAATCTTCGACCTTCTTCACCCAGGTTTGGAATCTTTTCACTAGCGAAAAAAATAAGGTTTTAAGTTTTTAGTGAATCTTTTAATACTGTATCTTAGTAAAAAAAAACGGTTCTATTGAGATTCTAAAAGAAGCACTTTTAAGATCTAAGTTTTTTAGGGCCGTACCATCAGTCGTTCCTACAGTTATAGGACGTCTTTATGGCCTCCTTGATTTTCATAGTCTTTTCTTTCCTGCCGAAAGGGTAAGGCATTTCTACATTCCTACTGTTCCGTGTCAGCGCTCTCCAATTGTGGGGCTACGTATTTTTTTGGAATTGTAGGAAATTTCAAGGTGATTTAACCGACATGGTCAATTTGATGCAAATAGATGTTTGTAACATAGCCTCAAAATAGAGCACCGACACGGAACAGTAGAAAAATATGCAAATCAAGCAGGCCCTGAAGGCGTCCTACAACTGTAGGAACGATAAGGCCCTAGTCAAAAAAATTGTTGAAGCTGCAAGTACCACGCAATGCAAGGAAATGATGTGAAGAAAAAGGTGCAATTCTGTCATATTTTTATTTAAGCCAACAAAAAAGTTTTCCGCTAAACTGATGCATGGGCGCAATAGGTTGTTTATTTATTGCTGTTCTGGTGATTGTTGAGTTATAAGCGATTCAACATATATGACTGCTCAATTTCAACAACCCGCCCCATTTTTTATATATTGATTTTATATTTTAGGTCAATAAACCACTAATCAGGAGCTTCAAAATGAGGTACCTCGCGAACCACAAAATCTATTTCGATTTAATAAAATGTTCCAAGAATGCGCTTTGTGAAATTTCCAAGTGCCACTTTTACGCAAGAATGCTGTATTCGTTCATTAATTGCAGGGCCATAATTTCAGTTCGATAACTTGATCCGCAAGTGGAAGTGAAGGTAAAATCTTCACTTACTCTTATTTGAGACACTGTGATATTATTGCGAGCATTGCTGCTGCTTTGTTAACCAAGAGCGATAAATTTGGATCCATTACGGTAAAACCGCCTTACTGCGAGTATTTCACTTTCACCTCCCTACAAGAAGAAGTTACACTTCTGCCGCTAGATAAGTAATGAAGATAATTTGGATAAATAATTAATGAATGTACGTTAAATATAGATTACTCGGTTTGTTGGGTACATAATATTGTCTCTGCTATCAAACCCTTTATACATTTTTATATAATACCAACATAATTGTTGCTCACTACTGAGCCTACTTTACGGATTCCACCTAATGTCGTTTGTATTTATTTGTCCTATTATTTGGGCAGCTTGAAAGTCCTAAGCTTCTTGATAAATTGGGACATCATGTGGTAAACGAATAACGTGTAGCTGCAGCGTCCATCTCCTGTGATGCAGACATTGCGTCAGCTTTATTGAAAAATTGAGAAATCGAATAGAAAATGTAAATTTCTAGTAATTTGATGTATGTCAGTAAAAAACGGTGGATAACACCAACCAAGGAAATTAGAAACTAAATTAATTTGTTGCTGAAAATATATCTAATTTCTGGTGAAATGTGTTTATGAATGTGGTACAACTGTATAGCCTCACTGTTAAAAATATTGTCCAATGATCGGTAAATACAATTTTCGGAGTCGTAAATTTTAGATATTTTCAACAGCAAACTGAATTAGTTTTAAGTTTTTCTGGAAGGTGCTTGCCGCACTAAGAGAAGCATTTTAAAGTCTCGAATAGTTTTTGCACGTAATAGCTGGAAGATTTTGGAGTGTGATGAAAAATGAATTTTTTATTTCTTTATTTAAGTGTTCGGACTTGAAAAAACGTTTTTCGGCTAAAACATTGTATAGACTCAATACTCTGCTTATTCCGCCTCAATTTTGTTTTTTCAAAACCTCCAGACATCAACTTCTTGCTAATTAATCAAACGTTTACTGGATAAGAGCCCTTTTGACTTTGATTATCCGTATCTCATGTACATCTAAGAGGATCGGTGATCATTTATGGACATACAATTTTTCTTTATCCTCCACATGGGTTGAAACAAATCATGAAAAGTGGTAATTTATCGTCTTCAGAAGGATTTAGCCGAGCATCAACTAATGAAATATATGCCTTTAAAAATACTATAAAAAACAGAATTTTCTTAAAACTGGATGTATCACATGTTATTGTATATTCAGAAGAACAAAAGAAGAGGACTAGTACAACAAGACACAACCTTTTGACGATTGATTGTTTAGTCATAAGCGATCAATGTACAAAAACGCTTCACATTTACAGCCCACCAAACTGCCATTTTATAAGATTTATGAAACTCTATTAGTACTTTAGGGTTAGAATATAGCTACCAGGAGCCTTAAAATGAGGTATCACATGAACCCCCGTTCAATTGGAAAAATGTTCCAAGATGCCCAGCCGCCATCTTGAAATTCTCAACAATAACTTTTCCATTGAAATATAGTATCCAAAAAATGGGGCGAACTTTTTGAAAGTGCGAAATTCAATTTACATTTACATATGATAGTAATTGTATGATAGTCCGCATTGAAACGTCCAAGTCTTCCTAAAAATATACCAAAAAAAATCGTTTATCAGTAATGGTTTAATAACTAAAATACTTTGAATTAAATTTGACCGAACTATAGATCAAATTAATGCACTCTACCTGATATCGTTTTTGCGGCTAAAAACATCTTGGACCTATTTTCCCACACGGAAACTAAGAAGATTGGTAGCTGGGAGTTGGTCTAAAAAAGTTCAAGATTATGTTAGTGTTTTTCCGAAAAAGGAAATGAAGGTACTTGAAAATGTTGTAAACCGTTAGATGGGCAAAGGCGGGTCTCCGACCGGGAGAAAGAAAGCAACACTAAAAGTAAGAAATGGATACATGATCAAATTTCTGCAGTCGCGGAAAAAATCTTATTGTAATTCAATTCGAGGACTGTGCCGCTTTGAAATATTGCTTTATTTTTCGCCGGCAGAGTTGCCTTGCGTTCTCAATACACAAGCAGCTGCTATTGTTATAGCTGTATACTTGTTGCCTGACAATTTGCAATCTGCTAGTTAGTACACGTGTGGTACAAAATAGTTTGCCAACTTTTAGAAAATAACTGCATGAGCAATCTCTGATATAAACTATATGAATTAACCTGTTTTCCCACTGTTCTTGCGTTTCCGCGGCACCTGCAATAATCCATTAACATGAATAGTATATCAAAGGCTTTTAGGTATTTGCGGATGTGAAAGATAAAGAAAATCACATTTTAGTTTTTCAGCGGCAACGTTGCCGTGCGCTGCACGGGTTCGAGTCCCGTCCCAAAAGAAATTTTCCTTTGACTATGGATGTTATGATTGTCCGTAGGTGGTAGATGGTATCAGACTGTCGAATGTTTAGCTTATCTTATGTTGGTAATGACCCAACATTTTTATCGAAAAGATCAAAACATCATTCTTCAAATTGAATATCCGCTACACTCAAAAACAGCAGATAATACACCCGATATCTCTCTACGGGCCGATTCCACAATTTAACAAACCGTTGGTGCAGAACCAATAGAGTACGAGTACCAAACAATCCGTCAAATATACCCAATCAGCCTCAAGATCTCTCCATCAAATTTTTGAGAGCAAACAGCATCAAAGTATTCAAAACAAAATACTGTAAAATATGAAGTGACCGCTTGCCATGGAAATGTTTTCAGTTTATTAAATATTATGAAATTGTATAAAACTAAGCCAAAATTTAAAAAATGTCTCAGTAAAATCCATTTTTTTCAGTTTAGCTGAAGGATTCTCCATGTTTATTGCAACTTTTGTAATCCATATGTGATTGTATTAACTGAACATCACCTACTGTGTGTTAATAGTTTATCCTACATTTGCAAACTTGCACTTTCAAACCCTTACATGAAAAAGCGTTTTCACTCAAGTTTAGGTTAGGTGTTGCATTTCAACACATTCATACACTTTTTTCCAATTCCTCAACGACATTTTGACATCATTGGTCCGAGACTGTTCAAGATTTCAAGATTCATACATACAATTGCAGTTGCAGTTTTGTTTTAATTTCAGTGTCAGTCGCACCATCGGTGATGGTACATGGTACACTCAACATAATCACGTATTTGGAGGTTAGTGCAGATTTAACGTGTACACGACAGTGTAATATGTAATTCTGCACAAGAAAGATTTTGGAGGAAGCACTTTTTATACGAAAAATCCATTTTTCATAAATAACAAAAGCTTAAAACAACAAAATATTGATAAGTATAACTAACACGTTTTCATGATTCGTCGTTGGGCGATTCAATATAAAAAAACGCTTAATTTTGACAGCTTGTCAGTTCATCATTTTGGAAGGTGATGATTTTGATTTCTAGAGTATAGTACACATACGAAGCTTTAAAATCAGGTAGTAGTCATCTTGGAATTTTTAGGTGCCATTTTCACGCAAAAATATGGTGTACGGGCAATTTATCGTCCGAAAAACACAATGAAAAAAGCTGCAAACAAAGGATATACAAGAAATTTATAAATTTTACTATTTAGATTACCAATTGCCTAAACCAAGTAAAAGATTCGTGGTACGAACGGGTATCTTTGTTAGGAAGAAGAATCCGTGTATGCCTCAGAACAGGTCAAATATTGGAAATTTTAGTCACGTTCATACATACTTGCAAGCTTACATTGGTAATGCAGGAGTTTAAAAATTATAATACACGACTGCTCAAAGGTAGCTTCGCTCTATCCGATTCAGGGAGAAATATATGATCTAGAAGAATTTTCTGAAAAGCACAGGCGTTATTGTATATTAACTTTCCATTTAAAGTTTTACTACCAGAGCCCAGAGACTGTTTCACATCTTTAGGAAGTCACTTCTTGTTACTACTTTTCTCTTTTATAGATGAAAAAGATATGTTAGAAAACCTAGAACTATTCACTGAATGATTTTTGCAATAATTCCCACCAACTGGCTATTTCTCCTGGTTTGTTGCTAGAGCATTAATGTTTATTAACAGCAGAAAAACGCTTTTGAATGTATAGAGAGTAATTACAAAATAAATAAGCATACATACCAGGCATGTTCAACGCATATCTACTTTAGTTATTTAGAAATAGCATAGTTTCCTGCGAGATTTAACATAATCTCTGTGCCTCATGCTTTTTCTCCCGATAGCCTTCGCAAGAGAGCTTTATTTCTTCAATGGTAGTTTCAAGTGCTGTGGCTATGAGTGGAGCTCTTAGATCATCGATCCTCGCCGGTTCGTTGCTGTAATATCGTTAACGTGAAATACAGAAGTTCTTTGGAAAAACTGTATTCCTCACTGAGTAATAAATCGGAGGTAATTTCACAGAGAAACAGACCTGCAGATCGTTAAGGGCGCACTTGCATATTTCATCAAAGAAGAAGAGTGGCCTATCTACAGGATATTCTTAAAGTTGAGAGTCTCCTTCACACGGCTCGGCGTAGAGTTATTATGCACATATTAGTCTTAACTGAACTTTAAAGTAACCGACACATCCTTCCTCGTTTGGAGCACAGAACCCTAATATCTGAAAATATATTTAATGCAAACAATTATACAGGGAAAGCGGAATGCGTCGCATTTTGCAAGTTGGCCGATTTTATTTGATTTTTGCCTGTGATGTTTTAGGCTGTTCAATGTCGACTGATTTAATATATGTAATATAATATAACAATATAATTATATATAATTCTTACCTCGTGGTGCCTGAAGCTTTCTTTACTGTGAAATCACATAAGTGTCCCCAATTCGTACCAAAGATATTAATTATGATTCTTAACCATTTCTGGAAAGAAAAAATCGTCGATAACAATTGCGGCTCTGCCACCTGCGGAACAATAGGTAATATGCCATGTGTCAGTATCTAACCTAACCACCACGCGCTATATTAATAAGCTGAGCTGCCTATTTATAAATCAGATTTGAAATATAGTCCGATAGCGATAACAAACTTTTATATACTACCTTAGTTTATGATGAGAATCTTTAACGTGCTTTCGATATTTTGTGAATACATTAAGATCATTTTCCTGGAGCTTTCTATCCCGTTTACGAAGGTTTGGTATATTTAAAGATCCGGACGACCCAGAATGTTACAAATTGAGATAGAATTTAATAAACATGCGTTTCTGAATCGAAAGGCAATGATTTCAAGCTTAAACGACTTATCAAATGAACGGTGACTCAGTTTTTTACATCTTTGCTTCTACTCTACCGCACCGTGTTACTCTATATCTCGAATCACTTGACAGATCCGCAAGGAAAAGAAAAACTACCACGCATCATGCATATCTACGCAGAAGGAAAAAGCAAATTATAACGTTACGACAGCATCCCCAGAGGATTCCCCAAATAACACTTTACGCATTCCGCGCTTTTAGCTTTCTAGTTCATACGAGCTCGCATAAAAATTTTTCTTCAAGTAAAAAACGTTGTTGAATAATGCCTCTTCTGCAGGCGGATTGCGACTTCCCTGATGATCGTAAGATAAGTATGCGACGTAATCATTAGGTACCCTCTTTATTTTATAATAGCATCAGGATATGTTCTGTATGATTTAGCTTTATCTCGTGTTATTTCTGTTATGCGCTAATGACCTTCCTTGTAAGCATGGTATTACCAATCCACTGCTTCTCGGGTGACAGCAGGGGACACGTGGACATTCAAATTAGTAGACCGATATCTGGCAATATCTTACGAGGAGAAGACTGGTACCGACTTACTCCTTATACCTGCAGGTTTTCACTACGCATAATTTGGTACAATTTAATGTTTCTAAGACTCGGTACTGTATGCGACTTTGCGGCTAGATAAGTATGTCCTTTTATTGTGAAATCGTTCATTTTATACAGGGTGACTTTGAAGTTGAGTCATTAATTTTCAGATAATGATTGTAGAAGGAAGATAAACCAAAATATGTGTGTAGAAATAAAAAAAAAAATAAAAAAAAAATTTACCTTGTTTTATAAAGTATCCTCCCGACAAGTATTTCAGTGCGGACCTGTATTTGATCGTGAGGTCTTGTCCCCTGTGAGGTCTTAAGTCACCTGATTCACGAGCCCGTTGTACTACATTAACAAAGGCACGAGGGGTTGGTTGCACTCGATTGGGAAACCAATTCGCATAAACATGTGCCATTTTTTATTTCGTTTGAGCCACGCAGCAAACACCTATTCACTCACGCGTTAGCGACTGACACAGACTGTATAAAAACATCGTGATCAGCGTTTCAAATTCTTTCGCTTTTTTGTTTCCGATGCGATGAACCGGTAAGGCGGATTATATCCGTTGTTGCCAAACACGAGCACACCTACTATTATTAAGACAGGGCGGTACTCAAACTTCTAAAGGGCTATAACTTTGTTACTTTAATTTTACCACAAAAATGTTAAAGGAAAAAAACATTTCTTTTGATCAGATCTACTCACTATTAAAATAAATGACTCAACTTCGAAGTCATTATTATAAATATAAACATATAGTATTTAAGCTAATCATCGTACGTACATAGTGTAAATGGAAACACTGGCAGGATGCCTGCCTAATGAGGAGGTTCGACCTATAACTTGAGCTATCCAGCGCACAGTGTGTTCCTTTATAGGGATTCGATATCTTAAAAACTAGTGGTCCTATTTGAATTCTGTAAACGCAGGGCGATTACTTATTTAAGTAGCTTTCTAAAGTATGACAAAAATTATTTAAAATAATAAGAAGGGGTGGGGGAGCAGGCAGGATGCATTTCGCATAAATCGTTTCTTTTTTTTGTAAAAGTCAAAATATTAAGTTGATGATCTCGAATAAATTGGGATAAGGTAGGATATTATTATAGCATTCTTAAGAGAGACAAAAAAGTCACGCTTTTATTTTTCAAGATCTTTACCTAATGATTTAAAAGATAATGTAGCCAACTTGTGGCGGGCGCAATATGATTTATTAAATTTGTCTATCTATTTGAAAAAATAATAAGAATAATTCGAATAAAAAATAAATCTGTATAATTTGAAATTGATATTTAGGTTTTTATTTAAAAAAATATATTTAACAAAATAACAATTACTTAGTAGGTAATGTATGAAATAATAATATAAACTATATTAAAAAAATAACACCAAATATACCCATTCTAATCGGAATAGGATTTCTTGCTCGGTGCTGTGTCATTCGTTATTGTACCTAAGTCAATACCTAAATCATCATTTTTTTGCTTTTTTAAATAGTTCTGAACTGCCTCGTTGCGTTTCTTATATTTTTTTGAGCTCACCTTTCTTTTTGAGGATATAAAAGGATCAGAAGTAAGTAAAAGAACACGCATGAGATCCTTATTCGTATCTGTTCTTGAACATTTTCTGGTGTGAGATAATCGATGTTTCCTAACCTCTTTATGGCGAGCCTCAAGCGCATCCTCCGACAGTTCTCCAATGGGCAAACAAAATGCATCAATTATCTCACACCCATGAACAAGGACCTTATGTACCGTGTTTGGCATGTTGTACCACTTATAAAGGTGGATATACAAATTTCTTGCTTCTTCCAGCAATGACACAAACTTTTCCATATCAATAGCGCAACCACTAGCTAACACTCCTAAGATGATCGCTAATTGAACGTTTCCATAAGGTGGGTGTGACTATGCCTATTTTTCCCACCAGGTATTTTGTTGGTTATCACTTCACTGCTAACAAAAATCCTAAATTATAGGTAACCATTAATTGCCGTAGTTACGTTAAGATACCATCAGGTACCAAGTAATTTTGCTGTAAATTGGTGGTTATTCCAGAAGACCAGTAGGACGCCAAGGGTTAACTAATAAATATCACCTAAGCACCGGAAAGTATCTTGTTCAGGCTTGTAGGAAATTCACTTACGACTTGCGACCAGTCGCAGCAGATGCTGGGAAGGAGCGAGCTAGATTACCTGTTTAAAGTTAGAGTGGTTTATAATTCAATCCTTACTCTGTACAAAATCCAGACAAGACCCGCAGTGTATATTAGTGTATTAGTGAAAGTGATATTATATCGATTTTTTTGTCATTATTTATGTTTTCTTATAGAATCTTACCTTTGGACTAGCTGGCATATACTTCATGCTCAGTTGTAGCAGGGTACCTACTGCACAAGTTGATATTATATAGATTTTTTTTATGTAATAACCCTACCGGCAGGGGTATTATGTAAAAAACCTAAAAAATGCCAAAAACCGACCGAAATGTCATCATGCAGACTAGGAAGTTTTCACTACGCAAATAGTTCATTCCACGTTTGCTCGCTATGATCGCTGTTCGCTGACGTTTCAGCAACATGTAAAGCTACAAAACGAGTTCACAACAAGTGTACATCTGCTTGTACTAAGTTAACATCTCGTGTTTGTCACTTTCAAGATACGTAGTACCCGTGATCTGAAAAGCTATAACTTCTACTACACTATCCCTTCGGCTCAAGGAGGGCACTTCTTTGGTAGGCGGTCTCCAAAGCCTCTACATCAACAGGTGGTCGACGAAGTAGCATTATCCCAGCTTTGCCATTTTGTAAAAGAATTTAAATGTTTATTTTTTATCTTTGCCAATGATAGATACCACAACTGTCTGGTTTACTATATTTTTAAGCTTCTAGGTGACTATATGGTTGAGGGTCAGACAAGCTTTTGGAAATTCTGCAAGCGCCCAGAACTATTGAATACCCATAAACGAACATTAAAAACAAGGATTTAGGGTACTTTTAACAAAATACACCATTATACGGCAAGACCTAACGTTGTGTTGCTCACTCCTCACGCAAAAAGAAGGCATACCCTCAAGGATACGAGGTTGACAAGCAGATCGACAAACATATCGACAGGCAGACATAACATTGGAGTGCCTGGTAATAAGAGAGCAGATCCTCTAAGCAAGGTGGGGATCAAGGGCTCCTCGATTGGCCTCGAGAATAGATTGCGCTTAGGCAGGCGTCAGGTCAGGTCAGGTATTAATGGATATCTCAGGAGCTGGAGAAAGTATCGGGACAGAGAGATGAGTTTAGGCGGGTCAAGAGATTGATAGCCAACACCGATAAGCGTTGGATCTCTGGCTACTCGACAAAGATAGAGAATCGTTCAACCTCCTGATGTTGTGAGTTTGTGTGAGGTTGTGCTGCTCGGAAGCATTATTTTGTAATATGGAGTGGTCGGAAGAGAACCTATTACGATTAATTAATATTTAATTTAAATCCTTGTTGTGGTATCACAAAATATATATATATATATATAGTTCAGCACTGCAGACCTAATAGGCCCATCGCTTGAGTGGTAACCTGTCGTAAGCTTTTCTTGTCTAGTGCCCTCTTCTTCCAATTGTTGATTCTTAACTCTTGAATATCCATTTCCACTTCCTTTTTCCATCTGGTTTTCGTTCTTCCTCGCATGTTTTTTCCACCAATATTGCTTGTTAGTACTCTTTTTTTGTATTCTGGTATCCGTCATCCTTTGGACATGTCCCAACCATCTCAATATTTGCGCTTTCACTGTTCCTACTATATCAAGTTCACCATAAAGAGATTGCAGTTTTTTGTTCGTTCTTCGCACCCATCTACCGCACTCCCGCTTCCCACCGAATATCTTGCGTAAGATTTTTCTCTCCCAAATAGCGATTTTGTTCTATTCTGCTTCATTTAACGTGCATACTTCACTGCCATAGATGAAAATGGGTCTTATAATAGTTTTATACAACCTTAGTTTAACCTTTCTGGACACGATTTTACTCTTTAGTAGTCGATTCAGTGAGTAAGCACACCGGTTACACATCATCAGCCCATTCTGAATTTCTTCCGCAATATCTGGTCTTCTTTTAAAAACAGTTCCTAAATACGTGTACGTTTCTACCTCTTCAAATTGATAAGTTTTGCCACTGGCTGCTTTTACTGTTAACCTGTCATTTTTAAACTCTTCCTCTGTAGTGTAGTTTTTTCTTCGTTAATATCAAAACCCATTGACAGTGCTTTGTCTTCCAGCCTCTTCCTCAATTTGCATGATTCCTCCTTACTTCTGGTTATGGTCACTAAATCGTCCGCGAATGCTAAGCATTGGTGTTTCTTATGATAAAGTAATCCTTCTCTA